GGGTGGGGGACCTTGGTCACTGACCTTGGTTGATGGAGTAGTGAGTTGGGGCATGGTCAATTGTTGTGTCGGTAGAATGGACAAGGGTGCAGAGAATTGAGGCGTGGGTTGTAAACTTTGAAAACTGGAGCTGTTTAGGAAGTGTTGACGACCCTCTGATGGTCCTCTTGGTAGCCCTGTGACCAATTTGGAGTTTAGAGAGGGCAATAAAAGAATTAAAACGCACACTCACCCATACACACAGCAAGAGACCTATGAGTCCGGATGGTTCCATTGAGGAAGTAGGATCTTTTGTGGGTCCGATCATAGAAGGGGTAAGTCCCGCAGTCATGTCTCTGTTTAGGGCATAGATGGTGTCGTCATCATAAACTTCCTTTGAGGCCCAAAATTGCAAAATCTTCTTTAGCCGAGACTGATTTGCATCTTTGTTTTGAGGGTTGTGATAAATTCTAGCCAGCATAGCCCCAAGAACATGTCTAAAGGCGAGGGCCTCATTGTCGAGTTGTCGAGGATTCATACGCCTCTGTAAACTGCAGTAGAAGACACAAAAAAATGTGCGAGTATTTCAAATCAGGCATTGAATGAATCTTGCAATGAAATAAATAAAAAAAGCCTCAATCTAAAGCCTGCAATTTAAATAAAACAAAAATGGTAATGGACGATTTAGGCTCAGAGAAACCTTGTTTCCAACAAAAAACTGTTCTTCGACAATTGGAGAAGCATAGAATCAGATCAAATCATCAGGGAACACAACTTTCTTACATGTACATGATAGTTCGAAAGACGCAAATTTATGGACTGACACAATACCTTACATGACAAATAGAAGAGGCAAATCTATTTATGGGTAAAGGAATGGGCTCAAGGTGAGATGCGCCACAAGATGACATCTTGAATTTCATTCCCACCAAGGGTAAGGGATGCTGAACTACCAAAAAAGAAGAAAACAAAACAAAATGATCTATGCATTGGCACTGATGATACCCCACTTCAGACAAATCACCTAATTCTATGACAACAATCTATAGACCCATATAATTGCCTTGCTGTCTCTATGAAACAAATCAGTCTTAGAATCTGCTTCATCTACCCTAAGCCTATATATCATAGGACGCATGAAGCAACAATTTAATTGCAGCAATATCAGTTGGCAGCTCCCACTATAACTGTATTGTGTAATAGCACCCCCTTTTCATCAAGCTTTCTTTCAGATGCAACCAGATCATCAAAAATACTTTCTTTCAGATGCAACCAGATCATCAGTTTCAAACTTTAGGTAGCAGTCCAGCTCAATCTACCCCGCGTCGGTCCAATCAATTAGGCATCTATAAATTGGTGTTCACATGCAATAGATTTACGTGAAACGTCATTAAAAGTCATCATGGCTTCTTCCCATAAAGAACAGAAGCCACTTACCTGAACTTATATCCAGAATGGAGTGCGGAAGAATCACCTAAAACAGGAAAGCTATGAGAAGTGCGGACTTGATTCAAGTTGTATCCACTTCTAGTCGTGCAAATAACTTGCAGAGATGTAGTCCAATTGCTCTACTTAGAACTTGTGACTTAGTATTGTATAGATATGTCTTACTAGTTCTGCTCCTGTGCCATTCTGTGATCCATTAACTGTTTTAATTATTGAGGGTGGCTCCCTTAGGTGTATGATTTGTACGTTCACATGGTTATTTAGGCATATGCTGACTGCAGTATTTAATTATCAATTATTTTTGTCAACTTCCAAAAAAACCGTAATGGGAAAGCTTGTTGATGTATTGTCAACCAGAGTTTTCAGTCTCTGACAAACTATTGAATGCTAGCTCATCTAATAGTGTCAAGGAAAAAACAAACTACCCCTTTCTAATATACATGACGGGATAAGAATAAAATTGTGATAGTAAAGTCTTGCCAAATACGTAAAGAGGCATGATAATATTGATCAATAATGACCTAAACAAGTTCAAGAGAAAAAATCTGAGGATTTGAAAGAACCTCCTATTCCAAAATAAAAGTTTTCTTTGTGTTGGTGCCATCTAAAAGCATTAGCACCTGTTTTAATTACTTAAGAACTAAGAAATAGGCGACCAACCATCTGTGAAACAAAACTAAGAATGAGTAGAGTTATCAAACAGTCAAAAAACATGGTCTTGTTGAACACAGCTAATTGGCAGAGTTACTTTACAAATTTAAAATAACTCTTGGGACATCCTATTTCAAGGGATCCACACTAGAACCTTACGCAGACCAGTCTCCGATCATAGCCCTATACTTACTCGACTCCACCGTCACCCAATTTGGCCCCTAGACCTTACAACTTCGTAATGATGTGGCTTGTGAATAGTAGGATATACAGCCTAATCTCTCAATGGTTGTCCTCCTTTGTGTTTCAAGACTATGCAAGAAGTTCCAACTCCTTTAATAAACTGATGACCTGGAACCAAGAACATTTTTCGGCCACCTCTCGTTGAAAAAATTGTCCCTCTCATCTATTATCAAAGATATTGACCTGCTTGAGGATGTCAGCTACCTGAACCCAAAGGAGAGAGCCATTAGAAACACTACTAAGATCTACCTACAAATTGCTTCAGGAAGGACGAGAATTTCAGGCATCAAATGCCGCAAGATCAAATGGTCAAAGGAAACAGAAAAAATGTTCTTCCATAACATGGCTCTCTATAGGAAAAGAAGCAATTATGTCCTACAAATTAAGGTCGAGGGCGCACATTCGAAGACCACAATGACATCTGTCGAGTGATAACTTTCTTCAAAAATATTTTTTTTGCTGAAAACACCGTCTGACCAAAAGTTGCCAATATTGAAATCCCAGTCAATCTCCAATGTGTGGTCCACCTGCTTAGGGAAACCATTCTATGAAAAAAGAAGTTTGTAGGGCCATTATCGAGCTAGACCATGACAAGGCACCTAGGCCTGATGTCTTTTCAGTGGATTTGTTCTCACCAATTGTGGTACATTGCCAAGACATTATGGACTGCTACTCTGAGTTCTACAAAAGGGGCATCACAAACAAGGGCATGAACGCCACCTTCATCACCGAGAGGAGATCAAAGACTTCAAATCCAACTATCTAATCAACAGTTCCTACAAATAGTAGCCAATGCTGACCTCCCAGCTACCCAGGAGCTAAGCCAAGTAATGTCGCCTCCCCAAGGTGACTTTGTGCAAGGAAGGCAGATCCTCCACGTGGCTCTAATTGTACACGAATGTATTGACAAACGAGCCCAATCCAACTCGTCAGAAATCATTGCAAATTAGATTTTAAAAATCCCTACAACCGTATGAGTTGGGACATCCTCAATTAAATTCTATCTTTAATAGGTTTTGGAACTACATGGAGATCTTCTATGTCAGGTTGCCCCTCCTCTGAGCACCTATAGATAGTGTTCCATAGACGCCGATGTGAGTATCGTGTACAGTGTGTATCTCAAGTGTCTAGAACTTTGTCCCAAAAACCCAATATGTCCTCGACACGTCTATGCAACCTTATATGTAGTATATACATAAATAATAAAAGAATTTCAACATATAATTTGCTAAAATAAGAAATAAACAATCTAAAATTTCATAAATATAAATAAATTTTACAGAAGAAAAATAAAAATATATCCTTCTATATATGCAACAGTAATATTTTGCATAACGCATGCCATATACATTTCACGATTGTTTTAGTAAAAACATTTATAATTTGACATTAACCAGTAATCAGTAAAATGGCCCGAGACATACAGACAACATGTCAAACCGGTGTTTATGCATGTTGATACGTGTCAAAATATTGACATGTGTCGATACCCAACACAATGAGATCTATGAAGTGTAGGTAGTACTGCTTCTAAATCCTCATCAATTGGTCCCTATAGGGCATCTTTCCTACATCACGAGGTTACGACAGAGTGATCCCCTTTCTGCGTTCATGTTTTTTATTGGGCAGGCACATTAGGCAAATCCACAGAACAAGTTTACAACCATGAATTCCTAAGGGGGTTTGCCACTTCACGACAAGGAAAATTCGTCATCCACCTCCAATATGCTAATAATATATACATGTTTTGTAATGTCACTCCCCAACAAATAGACAACCTTTGAGTGTACGTGAGATTTTATGGGGTGGTCACTATCACAAAAGTGAATATGGCAAGGACCAAGCTCCTGAGGGTTGGGCTTTGAACATATCAAAGCTCGATCCCTTGCAAGGAGAATGATTTACAGTACAGACTTTTTACCAGAAAAATATCTCAATCTACCTCTTTGCATGGGGAAACACAAGAAGGACAAAGGAAATGGCATAGTACGGAAGTTTAAAAGATGGTTAGCTACCATGAAAGGTTGTACCCTCTCCTTCAGAGGTCGAAACAACTTGATAAAAGCCACTTTAGCTAAATCCCCATCTCTCAAATGTTTCTCTTCTGCATGCTGATGAGCAAAGTCTATAAATTGGAATGGTTAATGCAGAATTTCCTCCGGAACAGGTCAGACGCTACTCACAAAATACATCTGGTGATGTGGGACAGTGTTTGCTTGACAAAAAGGTCTGGGGATCTGAGAACTCAAGAAGCAGTTGTCACACAGAGGCTCACAATTGGTGGTGGTGGTACACCATCCAGCAGATGCCATATGGAAATTTACGTAAATTGACCCTGCCCTTATGTAATGGCTAGAGAGAGAGAGAATATAGCAGATTTAAAGGCCTTGCATCACAGTGTTTGCATTGGAATGGTGTATCTTCGTAAAAAAAAGAAGAAGTATTCAATTCAGCTGCTGCTTCTGCTAATAAAATTGTGTTGCACACAAAAATTGCTCCTATTCATAATCATACTACATGCAGAGAAGAACAGAGCAGAGGAGTCGCAAACTGAAGAGTCTTTCATTAGATTGCTTTCTTCCTTCTACACAACACAAGGAGGAAAATCAAAATCATAGGAATCAAACTATTTCATGGAATGCAAGGAGGAATTCTATTCAAAATGGTTTACACTAAAAAATGGTGCTGCTGCAATTCCATACTACATACACAGAAGAAAGAGAGAGAGGGTTGTTGCTTCTTCATACAAGGCAAAGGAAAATGGATTATAGAAAAGAGTGGCCAAATTTCGTACCACTGACACAGGAGGGTGGTCTCTATGAATTGAAGGATATGGATTTCAGAATCAAAAGATTTACTTATTCGTATCAAAAAAAGAGTCACAGTGGAACTGTCTTGGACATAGTAGAAAAAGCTAGGATCAAAATGGGGAATCGAAATAGGGTTCTTGAGGCTCGTCTGGTTGGTCATTTCGCCCTGCCCCTGTTGCTTCCTCCAATTGACGCGTGAGAACATCCAGCACGCTGGTTAAGCATTTCTGCTCCAATTGCAGGTTCCAGAGCAAATCCAAAAGCGCCACCTCTGTACTTGCTTCCTCTGACATATCCACCAAACCCTGACACTGAGCTTCTGAGTGCTCGAAAATCCTCTCTAACTCAGGAATCATCGCAGCCATTCTCCCTCCATTAACCGCTGCCTCAAAAGCGAAGAATATCTTACACAACACAAGGAGGAAAATCATAATCGTAATCAAACTACTACTTCATGCAATGCAAGGAGGAATTCGACTCAAAATGGGTTACACTGAAAAATGGTGCTGCTGCTATTCATACTACATACACAGAGAAGAGAGAGAGGGTTGTTGCTTCTTCATACAAGGCAAATGGATTATAGAAAAGAAAGGCCCTATTTCGTACTACAGGCACAGAAGGGTGGTCTCCATGAATTGAACGATCTGGATTTCAGAATCAAAAAATTTCTTTATTCAAAACAAATAAAGATTCACAGTCGAAGTGCCCTGCACATAGTAGAAAAAGCTAGGATCCAAATGGGGAGTCGAAATTTAGAGAGAGAAAAAACCTAGGCGTCAAGTCGGTTTTAGAAAGTAACAAAAAACCTAGGATTCGATGGATTGTAGAGAGGAAAAACTTGAACTGGTTCGAGAGAGAGATGCTAGGGTTCTTGAGGTTAGGGTTGGCACCTTCCATGTCTGATTGGTCTTTTGCGTCCTCCAACCTCTTCACGAGGACCTCCAGCTCGCTGGTTAAGCGTTGGTGCTCCAATTGACCCTGAAGCTCCTCGTTCGTCTTCGTGAGGACCTCCAGCTCCCTGGTTAAGCGTTGGTGCTCCAATTGAAGCTCCTCGTTCCTCGTCGTGAGGACCTCCAGCTCGCTGGTTAAGCATTCGTGCTCCAATTGCTGGCTCCCGAGAAAATCCTCTTGATTCTTGGCCTCCCCTTACTCTTTCTGTGCCCCTGTTACTTCAATTTCTTGATTCTTGGCCTCCTTTTGCTCTTTATGTGCCCCTGTTACTTCAATTTCTTGAGTCTTTGCCTCCTCTTGCTCTTTCTGTGCCCCTGTTTCATCAATTTCTTGATTCTTGGCCTCCTCTTGCTCTTTCGGTGCCCCTGTTACTTCAGTTTCTTGATTCTTTGCCTGATGTTGCTTTTTCTGCGCTCCAGTTTCATCAATTTCTGGATTCTTGGGATCCTCTTGCGCCCCTGTTTCATCAATTTCGTGATTCTTGGCTTCCTCTTGCTCATTGTGTGCCCATGTTACTTCAGTTCCCTGATTCTTGGCCTGATCTTCATCGACCGAGGTTTCCGGGGGGTCAGGAACCCTCAGCGGAAGGTCCGTCGCCATGGCTAGAGAGAGAGACTGAGAGGTAGAGAGTGAGAGAGAGAGAGAGTTTGAAAATGGGAGGGGCGGGGAAAGGAGGGAGAATATATATATATATATATATATATGGGCGCGTGGGAGATTCTTGAGCGGTTGGTTGTTGGTTGAGCTGGACGTTACAGCTCAGCACCGCTCGCTATTCATACTCTCTCTCTCTCTACTTCTTTGCCCGCACCTCTCTCTCTCTCTGCTTTCCACTCACGGGCAAAGATATAGAGAGAGAGAAAGTGGAGGACGTTTTTGGAGATTGAGGTATGGGGTGGATTCTATTTTGTTGGTCACTCATAACAGTCCTCATGGTGAGGATGGGGAACACCCGGGCATACATTACAAAACTTGAGTCTTTGGTGGTAATAAGTTGCGAGGATCCAAGATGCCAAAGGTTGAAGATGCTCAGCGATCCCTGCTTATTTTAATTGCTCTAAAGTTTGGAGCATGTATCAAGTGTAGCATGCTGGCACAATTGGGTTTTATTGTTTTTATCTTAGAATCATTTACGCATGGACCTGAAAACTTTATCTAAAATACCAAATGCTGAAGAAATTAAAGATATGTCAATACGCCCATCAGTATGACGCTTCATATCGTATTTTAATTATTTTTTTTAATTTTTTTGTTAATGTGCCCTGAGCTATAGGGGTAGTGCCTCGAACTACCTCTGGTCTTTTGAGCGGTCAGAGGTTCCTATCTTCGGACCGCTCTTTCTTATTTTTTGAGAAAAACAACAATTTGAGTTTGTCATCCTCATAATACACTATATGTCTTTTTCTTTTCTTTTTTTTTCTTAAAAAAATTAGTAGTCCAAAGATGGGAACCTCACACTGCTCTCTAAACTGAGCACAACTTAGTTCCAGGGCGGTCTGAGGTCCACATCCTCAAACTGTTGTTTATTTCTTATTTTTTGAGATAAATTGTAGCATGAGGATAGGGCCCTCAGACTGCTCAACATTGATCCAACTATTGTAACCTTGGACCACCTAGGCATTTTCCTACTAATGACTACACTTTGCCCTACTAACGAAAAAAAAAAGCTAAAATGTGCTCCGAGGATAGCATCCTCAGACTGAGGGCTATTTTTTAAAAAAATATAAAAAATGCAAGGTGACCGACTTTTTTTATAATTTCTTCTTATAAACATAACATTTTGTAATCTAGGTTAAGCTTTCGAGTCCATGCGCAAATCACTCTTTATCTTACCGCTTCTATGTCAATATAGTTTGTCATGCCAATGTTTCAAAATCAGCACCGGTGGAGTAGATCATTCCACCATAGATCCATGTCAAATTGTTGGATCAGTTATCAAGATTGGGTCTTAAACACTCTAAATCAGTGATCCAAGAAATATTGAAGAGTAAATAAAATAAAATAAAAATCACAATAAGTGTTTATACGATAGGGATTTAGAGGGGACCTAAACAAAATTAGACAAACTTAAAAGAATATATATATATATATATATATAAGAAAAAAGCTGGGGTGAGCCCACTAGCTCCTGGAATAATATAAACCCAACGGCACAAATTGAATATGGGCCAATCTGATGAATACGGATGTCTGGTAGTATTTTAATATTAATTTTTTTTTTATAAAAATCCAAATCACTTAAAATTTTAGGTGCGTTTTCTTATCATCAAGCCGCAACTAATAAAAATATTAAAAAACATTCTCAAAAAATCAAAATGACCAAAATACCCCTTAATATTTTCAGGGGTATTTTGATCAATTATTTCTTGTAAAATATTATTTTGATATTTTTAGAAGATTCATCTAGTTGTGATGTATATAATTTCTAAATTTCAAGTGATTTGAATTTATAAAAAAAAACTTAAAATTCAAAAACTATTGGACATCCGTGATCGTCAGATCGGCCCGGATTCATTCTAGGCCGTTAGGGTCATTTTTTCTTGTGAGCTAGTGGGCTCCCCTATAGTTTGTAAGTCAAGGACTATCAATAAATTGGCTCGCCATAAAATCAAAAACAAATCATTTTTATTTTAAAAAGTCAGATGAAAAAATCGGGTAAAAAATACGAATCGGCAAATATACTTCATATAAAGATATTGTTAATATATCGGATTAGGCTAAAAAAATCAGAGTAAAAAAATCGGATAAATTTATAATATTAGAATTTTTGAAATTCTAAAAAATAAAAATTATGTCAAACCCATCAATAACTAATTCATCTATAAAAGCTTTACTAGACTAATATAATTAAGTCAATTAACTTATATGCCTCGTGACTCTGATGCAATCATCCACTATTAAATACATAATTAACTAGTATATGCCAAAACAATTGTACCGTATAAATCTACCCATTACATACTAAAAATAAATATACTATATAAATTTATTCATTAAATACTTTAACTATAGTATGGTGACTATGGTCACACCATAGCTATGGTTAAAGTTTTGTGAATTTCTTTAATTGAAAAGAGGCTGGTAAAAATTTGGGTTTCACAGTTATGTTTACGGTTTAGAGCAGTGTTTAAAAAAACGCCGAGTCGAACCGGAGTCGCCCGGTTCGACTCGGGAATCACCATGGAAGGATCGATTCGGCAAAAAAAACGGGAATCGTCCAGTTCTAGAGAGAACCGGACGATTCTGTACTTGATCGATTTTTTTGTAATACTTGATCGATTTTTTTGTAATCCTTGATAGA